TTTGATATAAGCGCTTTCCACTTTTTCATAAGCACAAGATATTTAAGTGGAAAAGAAAGCGTAGAATAAACACATTAGAAAATGTTTAGGAAGATTAACATACACCCTTTCTGCAAGAACATGCCAGTTATATTTACTGACTTCAAATTTTAAAAACCAGAAAATATATAAATAAAGAGTTTTCTTTGGTGTAGAACAGATTGTGGCTTGGTGTTTTAACTTAATCACTGAAAGTACATTCTTACTTTTAGATTGCCTCCACTCAGAAAGGCTGAAATGACAGCTGAGACCGAGCACATATACAGGAAAGTATTAACCAGAAAGGACTCTTTAAAATGTTTGGAATATTATGGATTTAAGATGAGCAAAGAATCTCAAATGAAGATGTATTTTCATTAGGAAGTAACAAAAGCAATCTAGTTGCTGCAAGAAGACATCAAGATATTATAACTATAAAGTGCAGAACGTATTGACTGCTACACAAAAGTTATCTCTGTTTACCTCAGTATTGTCCCTATTCAAGCCAGGAACTCAGTAATGTGGGACACAGGTCTTTATCTTTTGAAATTCATAAATGCAACTGTGAACCATTTAAAATAAATGCCTGGATACTCAGCATTTTATCAGGATTTTTTTTGGTCCCTTTCTTATTGATGTTACAAAAACTAGAAGTGCCGAACACATCAGATACTACGGGCAAACAGATCTGGAGGAAAAAAATGATATATGGGAATTTGAGAATGGGCTATTAGGATATTTGGGACCAGGGTCCAGAATGAACTTAAGAGCCTCAATTTCATGGTGTGAACTTGAAAGCCAAGATTTGTGTGCCTTTTCTACCTACACAATGCAGGTAACCTACAATGGGTACGGCTCCCATGCCTGTTTCAGAACATTAAATCATCATGAGACAAAGCTCAAAAATAATCCTTGGCAAAGTTATCAGAAAAATGCTCTCTTTCCAGCTGGATGAACATCATAGACCTATGATCATTTCCACTGTTTACAATCTGATTTGGTAAGTTAGAGACCTAAGTATTAAAGAGCAGTGTTTCACATTATGTTAAGAACAGCTCTTTCATGACAAACATCCCGTGAAGGTACACCAAGACTTCCAAAGACAACAGTAACACAGCAGTCCACAAAAGGTTTTCAAGAGCAAAGGAAAGAATGTGGAAATAAATCTAACAGCACTTACATTCCTGGAAACTGTTTTGCCTCCTGCAAATAAAACAAAAAAGTGAAATTAAAGTAGGTAGTATCCATACAGAAACACACCTTGAGAAGTACTCCAACACAGGCTGCATTTTATAGAAGACCTACCTTTCCAGTCATGACAAACACCAATAAAAAATATGAAAATACAATGAAAGAGTGTAAGATGATTCCCCAAGATGACAAGAGGACCACTCAACCATTGTCGGCTGAAGAAAGCCCACTGTGAATCTTTACTATGCCCCAGCTGTTGCGAGCAAAACTGCGGTGCAGGAACGGCTCAGCACCAAATCCCCCAGCACGCCAATGATCCCTGAGCCCTGCAGCATTCCCTGACACACCCTGCCCGGGCAGGGCCGGCTCTGCCCTTCCCGCGGTGGGACGCGTTTTCCAGTGGCCTGGACATCCCACCCTGCCCTGCCCTGCCCTTCCCAGAGCATGTTCTCCTGACGCGTTGGCGATGCAGCCCCGGGGGCCGCGGGGAGAGGAGGAAAAGCCCTCCAGCCCATCCACCCCTCGCACAGGGAGGGAGGGAAGGAACGTGCCCAGCAGAGACCCTCGCGCCCAGCGCCTCGCACCCCTCACGGGGGCGGCAATGACTGCCCAGCCAGGGCCTCTCCCGCTCCCGAGGGTCCTTCCCCGCCGTCCCATCCCATTCTATCCCCCTCTCTCCTGTCTCTCCTGTCCCTCCTCACCCTCCGCTCCTCGCTCTCCACCATTGCATCACCCCCACGCCGGCACGGCTCCCTTGGCTCCCGGCTGGGAAACACATCCCCCCGGAACCATTGCCTCCCACTGCCCTCCCTCCTCGTCCAGCCCCCAGCCCAAGGAAGCTTTCTCCTCGCCGCTGGCAGCGATGGAATAAGGGCTCATACGCGCTGAGCGAGATGCGGATTCACCTCCGCCCTAACCAACGCGCGGGCCCGGCACGGGGGATACGGCTCGCGGAACTGTTTGAGAGAGGCGGCTTGTTTCCACCCGGCGCGCCTTTAAAAGCGGCGCGGCGGCGGCCCGGCAGGTGAGTTGTGGGTGCGGCGGCGGCGGGAGCGGAGGGACCAAGGGGGTTGGAGCTGTCCCGGCCCAAAGCGGTCCCGGGATGGAGCTGTCCCGATGTCCGGCTCTCCCGGCCCCACGAGTGGTCTCGGCGCCTGGGGCTGCGGGGAGAGTCGTGTGCGTGTAGAGGTTGCGGCTCTGCGGGAGAGCGCAAGGAGGCGGCCGCGGTGCCCAGACCCGCTGGCACGGGCAGGGCTGCACCGGGGGCACCCGGGAGGGCCAGGTGGTGTTCACAGAATCACAGAGTCGTTAGGGCTGGAAGGGACCTCCGGAGATCATCCAGTCCAATCCTCCCTGCTAAAGCAGGGGCAGCTGGAGCGAGTGACAGGAACGCATCCACGTGGGTTTGGAATGTCTCCAGAGAGGGAGACTGTACGACCTCCCTGGGCAGCCCGTTCCAGTGCTCTGCCACCTTCAGTGTAAAGAACTACTTCCTCGTGTTGAGGTGAAAGTTCTTGTGTTTTAGTTTGTGGCCATTGCTCCTCGTCCTGTCGCTGAGCACCACCGAAAAGAGCCTGGCACCATCCTCTCGGCACCCACCTTTGAGATATTTATTATGTGCATTAATGAGGTGCCCTCTCAGTCTCCAGACTAAAAAGGCCCATCTCCTGCATTTTCTTCTCATAAGGGAGATGCTCCAGACCCCTCATCATCTTTGTGGCCTCTGCTGGGCCCTCTCCAGTACTTTGCTGTTCCCCTCTGGGAGCTGTGGGGCAGTGGGAGGGAGAAAGCAGCCCCGGCGGGCGGCGATACCTCCCGTGTGACCTCACCGGGTTCGGCGGGAGGGACCTGCGGTGCTGCCTCTGCTCCCGTGTCACAGCTCCTCTGGCAGCCACGGTCACTCGGGGGGTGTGGGGCATTGTGCGTGACGGACCGAATGCTCCTTGGTTCAGTGTGTTCGGGGAAATCAACCCTGTGGAAGATAAAACTGAAATTCTGTAAACTCTATTAGCTCAGCACATTGTAAATCATATTGTTAATAAATTCACAGTCTAGTCACAGTGTTTCCAATCAAGTACCTTGTGGTTTCCATCTCCCACCGTTTTCCTTTAATTAGGGCAAGGTAAGAAACTTTGGATGGTGTTTCTTTAAAAGCAGATGTTGATGGGAAGTCTTTAGATGAGAGAGATGCTTTGGTTTTACAAAAGTACTGACATGTATGGGTGATGTGTGTGGTGGGATGGATTTGTGCTGGCCAGATGTAACGAGGCAGTTTCTTTCCTGTATCTTATGGGAAATGTTTTTAACCTCGTGTTTTCACGGCACTATGTTGCACTTAGTTCTGAATCTCAGGTTGAGCTTGTTCGGGTTGAAACAAACTAAAGTAGCATTGAAAGTCTAACCCAGTCCTCTTGTGTATTTTAGTTTATAGCTTTTAACCAGAGGTCAACTTCTTGCTGTATTTGTTCTTTGGACATGGTGCATTTGGCTGGGACCTGTTTTTGGCACTGCAATATAAAGAGTAACCACTCAATACAATTATTCAAAGCTACTGTTTTTTTGATAAGATGTTACAATTTACTGCTAAAACCTTCAATTTACTGTTTTTGAATTGATTTCTTAGTTAAGTTTACTTGATACGCTACTTATTTTTTTCCTTGACACAGTTTAAATGAAATGTTGTTGTAATAAATGAAGCTGTATTACTAAAAAAAGAATTTTTCCTTGCTCTTCTTTGCTGTCACTTATAGCTGTCTTAAACTTCAAATGAGGACAAAATGTCCTCTAGAGGGAGATCTTGTTGCTTTTATGTGCTAAAATGTTGGTCACCTTGTTCCAGTTAAATGTCACCTATCCAGTTAAATGTCACCTATCTTGGAAAGGATATGTGATGATGAATGTGTGTATCTTGATTAGTAACTGTGTTCTGGATCTGTGCTTGGAAATTTCATAACAGGATGCAGAATATAATAGCCTGTCATGTATCACTTCTGTAGATCAAGTGAAACATAGTTGTTTTAATTCATTCTGAAGTTAAATGAATAATCTTTACAAGTTCCAGAGCACTACTCCTGCAGGAGAATTAATTTGTAGGACCTGCATTTATGGCATCAATTCTGCAAATGCTCACAAAGACACTGTCTTTTGTGCATCACTCTCTTTTTCATCAATGTGCTTTTGAGGGCAGTTTCTTTACTGACTTAAACTGAGAATTTCAGTAGCTGCTCTGAAAGTGTTGTGGGTTAAATCTCTTCAGCATAATGAGTACTAACAGCTGGGCAAGGAAACAAAGCAGAAATAAAATGTCCCATTTGATTGATCTTGGCAGTACTTTCTGCCTATAAACAGCAGAGGTTGAAATATTACTTTGCAGACACATCAGTTGTTTGAATGTAGTTAATTCTGTATACCACATGCTCATTCCAAATTATTGGAAGAATCTTGGTGGGGTTATCATGAGGTTGAGTTATCCAGCATGTTACATATGCAGTCTCAGCATGAGATTTTTCTCACAAACGTGTTGAAAAACCTTATTCCACAGTCAAGACATCTGTGCTCGTATTTTTCTGTAAGTAAATGCAAATAATGAATTCAGTGTAGTTTCTGTTATGTCTGTTGTGTAAAACTAAAGGCTGTGTGGAACTTGCTCAATGGACATGGTTGGAAAATTTCCTCATACTGCAACGACTGCTGGATGGGTCGAAAATGTGTTTACTTCTTTAGCTGCCTGTTGAACACACTTCTTTCAAGTCCTCTGTACTGTTAAGAAATAGATATTGTCAGGCTATTTGTATTCTTATAAATGTACATACCAAATCATTACATAATTAATTAATTAATTTCTTTTGTGTTTGTGTAGGGAGAAGTAATACTGCAAGTAAGGTGAAGTGATTTGCATTATTTATATTATAAGATTGTTTTCCTTTTCATACTCGTTTTCATTGTTTTATGGTATGCAAATACACTTCTGCAGTGCATTAAAAATGCATGCAAAGGGCTTGGAGGCAAATGGTGTTGTGTAATTGAAGGTACAGATGTGTTCTAATAGAGGAATAAATTCCATCGATGAACAGGAATACAAGTTTGACATTTTATGTTAAGAAAGGCATATTTAAATCCCTAAGTTACTTATATTGTAGACTCTTTAATTAATTGTGCTCTGAATAATGAATTCTTTATTTTAGATCAGAATTTTGGAGGATTGCAGCACTGAGATCTCTGGAGTCTGCTGTGTGTAGCCATAATGAGTTCGTCACTGGTTGCTTATGAGGATTCAGACTCTGAGACAGAAACTGAGACGACTGAAGTCCCCCAAGCTTTTGGCACAGGAAAAAGCTCTCAGAGTTCTTCTGTGAGTTGTGGTCAGCACTTTGCACCTGGTAGTTTGGGTACAAAATCTACATATGAAATGCACCCTATGGAGAACAGTGGCAGTTCTGGCACAAGCACTGTTTGTGAAGATCCCCCTGAGCTTTATGCACAGACTAATAACACTGATTTGACATCTCCTTACTCTGGGAGGGTGTACTCTGGCCATGCTGCATTATCTATGGCTTACAGAAACTGTGAACGGACCTCAAGCTCTTCAGCAAACTCTGGACATGGCGTTTCTCAGAAGAGAATGCATAAAGACAGTGCTACTACCATAAAAGGAATTAGACCATATATCCCCAAACGATTGCGTCAAGAAAATTCCAGTATGCCTGAAACAAAAGAATCTGATCAGAGAGGTAGCTCAGATTGTGATGGTAAACTGGGTATGTCAGGAGAGCAGTCTTCGAGAAAGATCTCTGAATTAATTAAGCCATATTTGGGATCCAAATATAAATCAACTGAAGTCCCCAAAAGCTTAATATTTCACATGTGTAAACACAGTGGCCCTGTTAATGAAATCCAGTGGTGTCCTGTACGGGAACAGAGTCACATGCTTCTCTCAGCTTCTATGGACAAAACAGTCAAGGTAATGTAAAACAAGATGCTTTGTGGCTCCATCATCAAACTTAAAAATACTGTATTAAATAATGCTCATCTGGAAATAACATCCTTGCTTGCGTGTGTGTTGCCAATGTGTTTGGAATTTGAGGAGATGCTTTGAAGCATAAGACTCTATTATGAACTTGCAGCCTAATTCTTCACTATACCCACAGTTTGGGTATTTGGAATTTGGTGTAATGTTTTGGGGTTTTTTTGAATTAGTCATCTAAGTGTTTTAGACCTTAGAAAGTTAGATTTCTACCAGGTCATTTCTCATGATTTTAAAACTTGCTTCTAAAATTTAGGACTTTAAGTAAATCCTACTAAATAGAGACTAAGTAGCAGAACACTCCTTGTACCAGCATACTTCTAAAACCGAAGGAGAGAACTTCAACTGAACTTGAATTCTGATTTAATGTAGAAAAAATAGTCTTAAATTCTCTTATTCCAATTGAGAATTTTTTCTTTAACTATTTTGCAGTTAAATTTGTAGTGGAGAATTGAGTTTCATTTAGTTTGTTTTTTTAACATTTTTTTTTCTTATCTTAGAATTTTTTCTTTCCTTTCCTTCTTCCCCACTTTTACCAAGGGGCCCTGTGAAATATATGCTGCCTTTGCATCCTTGAAGCAGAAATACTCTTGAATCTTGGACAGAGATTGTGCTTTTGTCTCCAGATGTCTTCTAAAGCACTTGGTGGTCACAGAAAACTACTGATCTATAGCATGCATAAAATTTTCACCTCCTAGTTGCTTATCTTTTATTCCTGAAAGTTGTAATTCCCTGGTTGAAAGTTCCCTGGTTCTGCAGTCAGCATAATCTATCAAACCATCAAAGTCTGAATACTTTGAACTTTCCTCTGTCTTTCTCAAGCTTTTTTAACCTCTTTGTCTTAAAGATTAACTTGGAAAAAAAAGTACCTTTCTTTTTACTAGCAAGTGTTTCTTAACATATTGAATAAGTTAAATCTTGGCTGTTACTTGAAGAAAAGATTTAGAAGGGAAAGACTAAGATATGCAAGAAGTGCTAATGGATATTTTAGGTAAGCAGGAGTTTAAATTTGGATTGTACAAAACTATTGTACACCACTTCTGAATTTCAATATATTTGACTTTTTATCTAAAGTTGTAACACAATATGATTAAAGCTTGTTTACTGTCTCAGAGCCTCATTTTATTGATGACTAAAATTATGTATATGTTGAATGTAAACCAATCTAAAATCAAAGTTGTTATTGCAATATAAAAGTATTAAAAAATGAAAGTAGTGACATGTCTGTTGTGTATTCTAAGCAGAAAGAAAGATTGTTTTTGTGAAGTAGTGTTACCGCCCCTGCTTGGAAGCAGTCATTAACCAGTGAGGGTGTTTTTTGAAGAAATCTAACTGCTGCAGGTTCCTCAAACATTGGAAATTCAATATAAATAGAATATGTTAATGTTGTCAATGCATCAGAGCATGCAAGCGTAAAAAAATTACTAGAGCAATAATGTAACTGTTAAGAAGTATATGAAAACATTATGCTATATTTTTGAAGGTAGCCTGTAGAGAGGTATCTACGGGTGCTTCTTGCTGTTCTTTCCTAGTGAACCTTTAAATTATTGTGCTGGGACACACGGACCGTCCCAGCCAGCAGAGGGCGCGGTGACATCGAGGATTGACGGGATGTTGGGAGCCCAGTTTCCCTCACTTTCTGGCATCCTGAGCCCATAAATCTCTGGTGGCTGTGACAGCAGTGCTTTATCTTTTGGGGATTTATTTGCTGTCTACCGCTGCCTGAAGTTGCCCATTTTCTGGTATAAGCATAAAACAACTGATTGAAAATGCAGATGTATTGTTTTTTTCCCCTTCATCCTTAAAGTTCCCACAGCTTACCTTTTTTGTTGTTTTCTTTCCCAAACACCTGCTTGGAATTGCTGTTTAAGTCCAGGCAGCGGATGCATATCGTCTTTACTCTGATGGGAATATGCAGACACTCTGAATCTTTACAACATTCACTTTCAGCATCTGGTTAGGGTAAAACTCAAAGCACAGTTTGCAGCCTAAAATCCCTATGTGATCAGAGACAGGAGGTAATCCAGAGCCTCAAAACTCTGTACTTTCAGTTAGTCATATGAATAGCTGTGACTGAATATTTTTGTGGGTAAATGTCTTGGATTCAATCCTTACATTCAGCCATTAATTATACATTATATAATACATTATTATATAATTATATAATACATTTTATTATAATTATATAATACATTAAGACATTTATCCTTTGAAGAGTCCAATATTAGTGAAGCTTTCTTAGAACTGAGAGTTCTGTCTAAGTTGATATGACTGTATTAGTTTGTGCTTAAATCAGAGATCTATAGTTTTGTGCAATTTGTGTAGTGTTATTTTATCTGTTTTTATTTGTTTAAGTATTTTCATCTTAAATTTTCATCCCTTCATGAGAAAGTATTTTCCTTCTTCCCCCCACCCCTCCATCTCCCAGCATAGGGAAGGGAAAAAACACTTGCTTTAGTTACCTTACTTAAGTGATTTTAATTTTTTTATCCTATCTAAATTACTATGGCTAAGTCACTAATATCACACAGATTGGTATCTAATATATATATATGAAGCTGATTGTATGGTTTCTTACTTTTTAAGTGTGTGCTTATCCTGTTAAAATCAGAAGAAAAGAACAGTCTTCCGTTTATGTTCTCTCAGGTTAACCAATGTGCACTTTAACATAATTTTTATGAATCAATGTAAGTCATACTAAAATATTTACAATAAATAAGTCGATGTCTGCACTTTCTGTTGACTGAAGTATAGCCTAGAGTCAGGGAAGACCATACAAAGCATTTTGTATAAATATTTTGCATATTTAGGAATGAATAGGCTGTTTTAGAGGACTTTATAGTTTTCTTTGAAAAGTATTCGATCTGAATTTTTTGTGTATCGCTGCATTTGAAAAACCTCAATCAGTTATCAAGTGGTTGAGTTGAAAAAATTATCAGTTATCAGCTCAGGGGCGTGATTCTCTAGAGTAACACTTCCACCAGCAGATGGGGTGCCTTGGCCTATTAGAAAGGGACGGGAACTAAACTGTGCCTCTAAAGACTGGAAGACTTTAATATTTGCCTCTGTGTTGTGTGTTGAAAGACCAAAGTTACAAGTTCATGTATGTGTTGCTAAACATATAAGGAAACAACTGAGTTTTCTTGGAAACCTGAAAGTATGATAGAACTCCATGTGGGAAGCGATACGTATTGCAGATTAATTAGCCACAGTTCTTCAAATCTGGAGCATGAATAGAAGAATATTTCATGCTAAATTTCAAAGTTTCAGGAATGGGGGAAAAAAATGCCAAGTTGTAGGCTTTGTGAAATTTTTTATCTTCTTTTTCTTGTAGAATTTTTAGCTTCCCCTTTGGAAGCTCCAGCCTAGATAGCTGGAGAAAGGTACAGAAACCCTGATTCAGGGTAGGGAAAGGTAGTGTTGGGAGCTCTTACTGTGGCAGTGCTGTTCTTCAGAGTTGCATTCTAACTGTATTAGAGTGGATTATGTATTTAGCTTAGGTATGTGTTTTAAGGACTGTGAAACATTATTGTCTGAACTGATTAAGTTTGTTTTGTTTGAGTAGCACTTCTGTTTGAATGGCTGCTGTAGATGAAATTCAGGCTACTACTGCCATTTTTTTGGTTTTCCTACTTAAACACCAAAATAATCTTTGTGATTTTAATATCTGGTTTAGTGGTTTTTGCATGAATGTTGAGACTCAATGCCATTATTAAAGGTGCCTGGTTCCTGTAGTGTGGATATACAATGCTTTGTATATCAGACCTTGTTTAGGTATTTCTGGCTTAGAACCCCAAATACAGAATCCAGGATCACAGGTTACCATTGAATACAGCTGCTTGCCTTCGGTAGCAGGGAACATTAAAAAGTTGTGTCTTGAAAGATATGTTTACCAACTGCAGAAATGACAATGCTGTTCATTTACGTTGCCAGTGTCTTTTATTTGGAAGACCTTGTTGTTACGTAGAGCCACATAGACATTAATATTTTCACTACTTACTGATTCTAGACTTAGTTTTTAACAATTGTTCATAACTTCAAGCCTCCTATACCTTTATTCTGTATTTCCTATTTTTGTCTTAAAAAATAACTCCAGGTAACATCTTTATATAATCATCTGTTAGCTTTTAATTTTGTGTTCTCGTTTTTTTGTTTAGAGCATCACAGCAGGGATTATGTTTGTTGTAAAGTATTTCTTAATTTTCAGCACTTTCACTCTCTGTTGTTAAACAAGATCAAGGAAAGAAAGTGCTGAGATTCTTGAGTGTGCAAAATGTATATTAATAGAACTTTGGTGGGATGTCTTGTGTTGTAATACATTGCTGGAAGTTTTTCTTATGCAATTTTTCCCCTACTTGCCTAGTTGAACGTTGTCTCCATTTAGTCACAACTGAATCCATACAAGCAAAGCAAAAACCTTTAAAATGAGTGTGGTGGGTTGACCTTGGCTGATTGCCAGGTGCCCACCAGGCTGCTCTATCACCCCCCTTCCCAGCTGGACAGGGGAGAGAGAGTAAGGTGAGAAATGACTCGTAGGTTGAGATAAGGCAGTTTACTAAAGCATAAGTTTGCACGCACACAAACAAAGTGGAAAATAAGAAGGTTTATTCTCTACTTCTATTACCTTTTACATCTGAACTGGTATCATATGGTATGGAATATTCCTTTGTTTGGTTTCGGTCAGCTATCTGGGTCGTGTGCACTCCCAGGATCTTTTCATCAGTATGGGAGGGAAGGAATGTTGAGAGACAGTGCTGATGCTGTGCCAGCCCTGCTCAGCAGTAGGCAAAACGCTGGTGTATTATCAACACCTTTCCAGCTAACAATGCAAAGCACAGCACGGTGAGGGCTGCTATGGGGAAATGAACTCCATCTCAGCCAGACTCAATACAATGAGTTTATTAATATCAGCCTGTTGAACAGAGGCATTGCTGACTTCCCATAATTAAGAACACAAGAGCCATGCTTGTTCAGACCAAGGCTCTGTCCAGTCCAGGGTTTCAGTCTCTAGTAAGGTCCATGAGTAGATGTGTAGAAAAGATCAAATGTCAAAGGTTTGTGGTGCCCTTTAGTCCTCTTCTGGTTTCTGTTTCTTTTCAAGTGGGAGAATTTCTGAGCTCCAAAGTAGTTCACCTTTGTAACATGCTACCTCAAGAGATTTCTACATAATTCTCAAGTCTTCTGAGATGCTTGTGATCATTAAATCTAGAGTGGTATGTTACTCA